GAAGGTCACTGACTTTTATTGAGAATATTTTGACCTGAATGAATAATAATGAAGGACCTGATTTGAGTACATTCTTTATTTGTACTTTCACCAGACGTTGGGTGTCGTGTAGCGTACATGGCACAGATGAGAATTTCATACAGAAATTTAATCAGAATACCTTAATGAAAGGGACTGATTAGGAGATGGAACTGTATTTTTTAATTTATATTTTATTTATTGATACTTTCAGTAACTTATAATATATAACATTGATTGAAAGGATGATAATTAATAACGAATTTGAAATGATGTTGATGGAAGTGTTTGTGGCCTAATTTAAGATGTTGTCTTAGCACTTGTCTGAAGGGACATAACTGGTGATAATATTAAAATAATTTTTAAATAAATGATATATGATAGTGTGGCCCATATTCCTTAGGCTTCAACACAGTAATGTATTTTTGTGTTCCATAAAACACAAGGAATTTGTTGATAATTTGAGCGAATATTAGCTTCTGAAAAAGGACTGCAGAATTAGATACATTAACATAGTTACTGCTGAAAGTAGTTACGTACCAAATAATGTCTTCGGACAATTTTACAGCTTTCACTGCTCAGCAGAATTCCTGGACACCAAATGATATCACCAGTACTTTTTCAATAAGATAATAATTTTTTTTGGTCATTAAATTTTCATGGTTCATAAGCACGTGAATACAATTTCGTGTAAGTCCCCAAGGCAACAAGAACATTGATGAGAATTTGTTTCGGACAAGGGACAAGCATCTTAACTTCCGAATGTGTGTAGGGGATTGTTGGATCAAAGAATGATGACATAGTATGTGATAAGAGTGGAACTACACCAGTAAGAACATCTGATATATCGTCTTGTAAGTCAGATGCCTCTTTCATATAAGGGCCTTCTTTCATTCCTATAGAAGGTGAAAGGAAAATTGTTGTCAAGTTCATTTTCTTACACACCACTCGAAGTATCTCCACAGATAATCCTGTTAGTTTGTACTCAACACTTCCATCATTCCGTGTGTAATTATCTGTCAAAATCAAATATGGTTCAATTCCTACAGATGCCACTCTAATGGGACAACCCATAAGATCTTTTGGTACTCTTTCGGGATACAAGTTCACATCTCCTGAAAATCTTCCGTTGTGCTCACAAACCCACTCAACTTGCAAAACTGCATCTCCAACTTCTCCGCAACTTCCCATGTGGTATGGAAACCAAGTGTACAAGTTCAGCAGATTAGTTCCTCTTCTGTGTTTGTTGCCCGTAGTAGTCAGAGGAGGATCTGCTTCTTGGCCTGGAATCAGAACCACTACGTTGACAATTTTGCTCATCTGCCACAGAATGGCGCATACATGAGTAGCTACTATTTGGGGCAGTTGTTGACCGCTGTGGCCAGTCATCACCACGACAAACCGTCCGCGAGGGTTCCATGATGCGCTGTATTTGAGATATTCTACCTGATTCTCAAGAGATTTGTTGAGACTCGCTTCCTCCTCCAACCACACAAACAGAATATAGCTGTGATGTAAAACTGCTGCGTCCGCGATCTCATCTTCGTTGGGTCGAAATAGTTCAATTGGCCATCTTGTCCCCTCGTTTAGCTTCTGCAGCATGAAGTTCACCAATTGTAAATCGTCCTTGTGGGGCGTAGTTTGAATAAGTTGCCTGCTTGTTGATTCTTCCGCTGTGGCAGGCAGTGACACGATGAGAGGATGCCCCGGTGTGAAATATCTGTGTGCGATGGTTTCCACACAGAGGACTAAGTGAAGCTGCTCCATGGTCAAGATGTTGCTCCTCACAGTGAGAACGGATGATAAAAACCCAATGATGATGCATGAAATATAGATGTTCATCGTGTCTTCCTTTGTGTGAGTTTCTTTTATCTGCAATGCAAACAGGTGTTAGTGTCTCGAAAGCAGTAGCTTCTTCCTCCTGACTCTGTAATATCAATAATTTTATCAGTTGATGTATGA